CCTTTAATACAGTTCCTACTTCTCACACTAGGTCACCTTGCCCAGCCTTAATGCAGGGGGAGGTGCTTAGTCTTCCTGCAACTTGGTATATCATGTTTTGTTGATATTCGTGGGCAACCTGCCCTTTCATAAACAAAAATAAAAGAGGAGTGGATTGAGGAGTGGGAACAGAGTGGGAGGTGAGGGGGGAACTGGAGTGAGAGGAGGGAGGGGAAAATGCAGTCAGAATGTCTATACACACACACACACACACACACACAAACGTGCACACATACACACACACATATACTGTTAGGAGAGCAATATATATATTGCTAATATAGGGAGCTTATGTTGGTCATCAGAGTAGGTCTAATATGTGAGTTTCAGCGAATAGTCACCGCTGAATGATTTAAATACCAAAAGAAAAAAAAAAGAGATAATTCTGCTAAAATCAGAGCTAATTCCATTCTGAGAAAAAATGCAGTGAAAATGTATGATGGTGAAACCGAGTCTTGATATATCTGAGGATCTGAAAGAGAGGTAGTGTGACCAAAGCAGAGTGACAAAGCCAAAAGCCATCAGTAAGGGAGAGGAAGCAGGGGACATCATACAGAAGGTGTAAACTGAACTTCCTCTTCAGTCAGAAGAATCCCAGAGTTAAACGTCTGCAGGGCACCCGCATTGTATTTCTCCAGCACCATACTGCACTTACATATTGCAAACATACCATGTGTTAATGATGCTGTAAACTTATTGAGGCCAAATCCCCAAATGAAAGATTATTATCATGAGAAAATGCTTTCTGAATTTTAAGCGAAAGTTCCAACAGCTTATGTGGATCTTCTTTTCCACATAACTTGAGCATTGTCTTGATACTGTTTTGCTTCTGTTGGTGATCATAAATTTGGGAAATGGAGAGCTGCGGTTTGTTGGATTTTCCAGGCCTTGGGAAGCACAGATCTCATCATTTCTTTCTGTGCACTGAAATTTACAACTAGTAGGGTCTGTTTGAAGAGGTCATTTAACTACTGCTGAACTGCATTTCCTAAGTTTTAATTTGCTTTTTAACTGTGTTCTGATAAAGAAGAAGAAAAATTCCTTCCTGCTAACTGCTGTTTCTCAATCCCAGTTAAGCCAACTTTCATTTTGAGTTTTATCAGAAACCTTGTTGACATGAACAATGGGAATAAATTATACCCTTATAATGATTTATAAAAACAATTCTCCTTAGGCCTAATTACTTTATTTGAGCAATATATTCTTTTGAGGCTAAGAAATAACATATTTATATCATAGCTCACATCACATAACTGGAAATAATTTGGAACATAAACAGTTAGACAAAATAAAACGGTGTCTTCTAATAAGTTAATAGTTATCTGATACACAAAAGGTTTCCCTTCCCACTAACTAAATTACTCAGATGGAAGACACTAATGTACTGTTTTTATTTTTTATCTTAAACTGAGTTAAGTTCAATCCTTAATGTAAACAGCTTTCTAAAGGAGATGATTGAGACTGTTTTTAAAACACTAAAATAATATAATGCAAGTCTATGTTATGAATTCCACAGGCCTATAAATCCAGGGATTCAATGAGTTAACCATATGATTTAATAAAATTAAAACATACCTAATATTCTGCTATAGAAATTTACCATAAAATACTGCTAAATACTTTAGGAAGATTTTATATTTCTTAAAAGAAAACATTAAATTGAACCCAAAGTAAAAAAAGACAGTATGGGGACCCCACATGTCCCCCACCAATGCTTGTCAACATTTGTCCATGTTGTATAATTGTCTCCTTAATTTCTGAAATCACATTAAAAGTTGAAACAATTGCATGTAGTACCTAGAACTTCTTTCACAATTGAGTACAAGGTCATTATTGTCCTTAACATGTTATGCTTCTATTTTTTTATTGTTTTTAGGTATAAATATCAAATCCAGTTTGAATTTCTCAGACAATATTAGGAAGTTAGTAATGCTTGTATTTTTGTAGCATTGCATCTCTGGTGCCTTGTAGAATTCAATAAAAGATATGTATCGAAATTTTTTTAATCTCTATATTTTCTTTCTGAATCATAACTGATAAATTTGGCAAGAGCAAATGGGATGAGATAATAACCAGAAAGAACAAACAAGAATTGTTTTTCTGCTTGATGATATTGGATAAGTTTTGACCATGGTGATATAAATGACAAGAGCCATCTTAGGACAAGGGCATTACAGCCAAAGAATATAATTTTCTTCGGAATTGTAATAATAAAAGGAAAATTACAATTAGTTTGCTATAGTTCAATTCATTCTCACAATTCTCCGTGCCTACCGTAGTTATTTTTAATCAGAACTTACATTGTTCCTCCTTGTAAGTTGCATTGCTGTTTTCTGACTCTCCCAATTCCAGCATGTTTTTTCTACACTGCCTATGCTGGAGAAGCATTTCTAAAACTCAGTTATGAGGATGTTGAATTCCTCCAATTATTCCGCACTGATTTTAGGATTAAGACCTCTTTAGTGTCTTAATTAATTCAGTCTAACTCAACTTGCCTCTCTGCCAATATGTTGCAAACTTAGGCCGGAACTGAACTGGCTGTCTATGTGTTCCCTTCAGGTGAGCGAGCACTGATTTCACACCATTTATTGTTCCTTGTGTTATCCTTTCGTTTGTGAGCCCAAGGCCTCTTGGTAAATGAAGTAACACCTTGCTTTCAGAGATCTGCCTACACTATTTTAAACATCTGTTGACATATGCATTTCCTAAACAATACCCAAACTCCATGTGCGGGACTTTCTACCTTCTCTGTTTCCCACTGCTCAGCATTTTCTAATTGATCAATTAATATTTGTTAAGTAAACGCCTGAAGTAACAAGTTAAGAACATTGAATTCTATTCTTTTTCAGTAAAAAAAGAAAGAAAATTGCCCAAATAAGAAAGAATCATTGTTTAGAAGGCCACTTAGCATTGAGGTAGCCATTACTCTATTTCTTTAACAGAGCTATTTCAAAACAATAGCATTGTCCATCAAAATCTGATCTTTACTAATGTTCCTCTATGGGACTGCAATAGAACAGGTGAGTCAAGTGTGCCTTATCTACCCTCTCATGCATTGTTGTCTCAGGAGCAACAAGCTAGGCAGCTCTGGGTTCCTAACAGTACTCCACAGAACAGTGAGAAGTCCATTCTGTTCTTCCCAAACTGACAGGCCAGGTACTTGATTTTTATTAATCAGGTTTATTGATTCATTTGTGTTGTACTTGATCTTATTTCACAATTAACCCAAGTGTTATCCACTACCTTAAATCCCTTTAGAAACTGAGCATGAAATAGAGAAAGTTGCAATTTAATACATATGTTCTATCTGTAAATAGAGTTGCCAGTACATGCTGTATTATATAAGGGCTCATTGCCTTCATATTCATAAGATTAAATTGATTGATTTTTTGTTGCCTGCAATATTAATGTAATTCTTTTCTCATTTATAAGAGTTTTAAAGTTTTACTCTTGGAGTACAAAGTTGAGGAAGTGAAGCAAACATGATATTTTTTCTCAAAATCAACCTGAACTGAGCCTAGCTCTCCCATTTATTTATGTATTCCTAATTATTTTTTAGCTGATTAACTTCTTTCCTTAACTTCTCTGGCTTTCTGCTTCATTAACCTGTCTTATAGAGCTTCCTCTGAATGATTAAATATGATGCTGGCATGCGGGGTACTCAGCACTGCAGCAAATATCTAAGTGCTTGTCTACCCTAGTTCTGGAGACAGAACCCATAACTTTAAGGAGTTCACAATGCAGTAGGAATATGTATACTACCTTATATATGCTGGCGGATGTATACTATAAGAAAGGGAGCAAATAGTCATTAGCCCATGTTTCTGTTGTTGAATGATTACATGGTGGAAACTGACAAGGTATAGACTATTTACACAAAGTACCTCTATCTTGTTACAAATTAAAAACATTTAGAGTAAAAGAGAATACAAATAACCATAATAGCAGATAAAACATCACAAAACAGGTATTATTGAGATTACTATCACTTTTCACTACCTATTCTTTCAGTTGGTGTCTTTTCCCAAGGTATTTTATAGTCAAAAAGGCATTGTGACATTTAATATAATTCTCATATTCTTTTTTGTTTACTAAATTAAACATTCATCTAGTATATATTTACTCCACTCCTGGACAGTACTACAGAGACACCTGCACATCCATGTTTATTCCTTCTCAATTCACAATAGTTTGGAAATGGAAACAGCCTAAATGTCTATCAACTGATGAATGGATAATAAAAAAAGGTGATGTATATATGAAATGTAATTTTACTCATCTCAGCCATCAAGAAAAATGAAATTGTAAAAATTGAAGCAAAATGGATAAAACAGGAAAAGATATTTTCAGTGGGGTGGTTCAGATTCAGCAGAACAAATGTCATATGATCACTTTCTTCTGGGTCCTAGTTTCTACTATTTCATTCTGGTAAGCAAGCAGATTACCTGTGGATGCTAGGAAAGGGGCACTGAGTTTGGGGAATGCCTTAAAAGCAGAGAAGCAGGAAAACATCCACACACACACACACACACACACACACACACACACACACACACACTAGAGATGGCAACACTGGAGGCAGAAATGTTTACGCAGGTGCAGTATGGAGTGGTGGGGAGAGATGGGAAGACCAGTTAAGCAAAGCAAAGTATACATGAAAAATTACTGGAATTTAACCCAATTAAAAACTCCAAAAGAGAGACTGAAGTGAGTTAATGTGTGTGGCTCCTTAGTAGTGCTCCTAGAAGCAGTAGATTATTAAACAAAATCCCTACTGCCAGGCATGGTTATGTGTAGGAGTGATTGCTCAAAGAGGCATGAACAGTCCCCAAGCAACACAGGCCAGAGTACTTGCTTGCTCAAGCTTAAAGTCCCAGAAGGTTCTCACAGTGGCCTTACCCAGTTGTGAGCTGTCCAAGTGACTTTGGACCTTAAACAGAGAAGGTTAGCTAAAGCCATGCTGGGTGAATTTTGCTTGTTTTTAGTGAGGATAAGAGCTAGAATATGTTACAAGAAGAGAAAGAGGATGGTCACAGGAGAAGAAAGCGGACTGTTCTTGTGGGAAAAGTGATGAGGAAAGTTGAAGCTTTTTGCCTATGAATAAACTTTACTTCTTCTGAAACAAAGGAGAGAAAACACTGGTGAGTTTTAAAGTGGTGACATGGATAGTATTCAAAATAGGAGTCAACCCATGGACGTGAACCTAGAAAGACTGAGATCAACAAGCTATGTCACAGCGAGGCGATGCTCACACCAGGCTCACCTCTGTTCTTAGTGAAGGGTTGCAGTTGGCTCTGCAAATGGCCTTCATTTTCTCACTGAAGTAGAAGGTGAGGCTGTTTGATAAGAGGAAAGGGTAAGGGCATGGTTATTATTCCAGAGGTAAATATTTAAAGTTAATTGTGGATGTGAACAAGACAGCATATCAGTTGAAGAGAAATAGCATCTACAAAATCAGGGGCCTAGAATGAATAAATAAATTACTGGTCTTGAAGACACTGGGTTGTCAAAGAAAGTGATATTAAAATTGGTGAAAAATACAAAATCAGCAAAATAATTTTCTTGTGTTCATCCGTTTAGTGATTGTGTGTGTGTGTTGCTATTTTTCATTGATAACTGAGATGGGAAGACAAAGAAAAAGAAATATTGAGTTTTGCTAATAGAAAACAGTGAAAAATGGATCCTAAAATATGTTTGTAAGTTTATTTCACTATTAAAATTTTCAAATAATTGAGTATGAAAGCTAGATTACCAGAGATATAAGACCTAACTTTAAAAAAAATCTAAATTGTCCAAAATTATTTTGTTTGCCTATTATACACTCCCAACTACAATATAAGTAATAGAAGAAAGTTGGGAATGAGACAAAACTATGATTATACCCCCACTGTAAATTTCTGTTCTTGCTTTTAAATGTGCTTTTATTTGAAATGCCAGACCATATTGAAAATTTCTAATATCCTCTGACCTGGCTTTAAATCTTCATGTTTTTATACAAGAAAAAAATGTGTTTCCATGCTCACTTCAGGGATAGAAAACATTTATTAATGGATACTGAATTACTAGTTTTCTATGTCAAAATCTGTGTCTTAGTAATTATGACAATTAACATTTATGGAGTAACCTATAAGTACAAATTAGCATTATAGAAAGAATTCTAATTCATCAAGCCTTTCTAACACAACTATTTCACCTTTGCATAGAATTAAAGTGTCCAGTCAACCTTGCAAGAGCCGTGTACAGAGGAGAGGCACACTGCCAGAGGCTACAAACTGAAGGCCATGAAATACAATGAATAAAGTATATAAACAGGTACATAAATAAGGTCATTCCAAATAATTGTAGGTGTTTTGCCAAAAATACAATAGAAGTTACACAGGGAAAGTGATGAGTAAGGTGTTGGAACTGGGTTGGTTTTTGATTTGTGGGTTTTGGGTTTTGGTTTCTTGTTTTGTTTTGGAGACAGAGTTTCGCTTTGTAGCCCTATTCATGTAGACATCACTTTGCAAACCAGACTGGCCTTGCCAGTGCTAGTGTTAAAGATGTTTGCAACAGCAAAAGTCAGTGCTGTCTGGTAAGAGAATGGTTTAAAACAGTATGAGCTCTTCCTTATGCCATTCTTTCAGCTGAGATGGCCAGTGACAGGCATGTGAAATCCCAGAAAGGGGTACCAAGTGTGAAAACAACAGTATAGGAGACTACAGCAAAATAGGAAAATGGAGGAGGGCAAGGAGTCTGAAGAGGAAGGCTGAAGCCAGGATGTGCAGCGGAGGGAAGCATGTAATGAGATTTGTGTGCTAGATGGCTGACTACAGCTTCTGTGTAGAAAATTAACTGGAAATAGAGGCAGGGAGACATCTGGAAATGTTTTACTGCTATTAACAGAAAACACAAGGGTTTGGATAAAAGTTGAATGAAAAGTGTTAGGAAAAATTAGCACTCAGATGTGATTTCTAAATTTTTCATTAAGCCATGTATAGAAAATAATATCCTTTGATGCCCAGAGAGCTAAGTGAAATTACAAACATGATTTCAATCATCTTTCTGCTGAAATATGGTTTAGATAACTATTAGACAGCCAGAGAATAAAAGGACACTTGCATAAGAGGATAGCGAGAAAGGAATTTGGGGATTCTGCACTGGTTGCCTTCTGTGCCACTTGGTGGTAGAAAGCTTGCCTAGTATGCGTGAGGCCCTAGATTTTCCATATAATAGAACATTTTATTATTATTATTATTTTGTTTTTTGAGACAAGGTTTCTCTGTGTAACAGCACTGGCTGTACTTGGAACTAGCTCTTGTAGACCAAGCTGAGCTCAAACTCACAGAGATCCACCTGTCTCTGCCCCCCAAGTGCTGCGATTGAAGGCATGCGCCACCACCACCTGGTTATTTTTATTATTTTTAATTAAAATAGAACAGTTTTCACATACTATGTTATGAATACAGTTTTACCTTTCCCAATTCTCCCTGATCCTACCCACTTCCTCACCCACCAAAATCTCTTTTTATATTTCTCATTAGAATACAGATACCTAAAAACAGTAACAGAATCCAAATAAACAACCAGAATAAACAAACTAACAGAACAAAAAGAGCCAAAGAATAAGCACAAGAAACACATACAGAGGGGCTGGAGAGATGGCTCAGAGGTTAAGAGCATTGCCTGCTCTTCCAAAGGTCCTGAGTTCAATTCCCAGCAACCACATGGTGGCTCACAACCATCTGGAATGAGGTCTGGTGCCCTCTTCTGGCCTGCAGGCATACACACAGACAGAATATTGTATACATAATAAATAAATAAATACTTTTAAAAAAAGAAACACATACAGAGAAAGAGACACACAAGTTCACATGCATATAGTCACCATAAAAACATACCATCAGCAACCATAATATATGTGCAAAATACTTGTAAGGGGAGAAAAAAGAAAGGAATAAAAGAAGGGTAGGGAAGCAAAGGAAAGAAAAAAGTCCAGACAAAGCATTGTGAGAAAAAGGACTTCCAAAAATGTGATTTGATTCATTTTGTGTTGGCCATCTACTGCTGGGCATGAGACCTGTGCTTAAGAGTGGTTTGTATGCTCAGTAAGACTCTGAGGAAAAACAACTCTCTGAAAAACAACTGAGAGTGGTTTTCATTGGAGATTGCTTTTGGGTTAGGGACAGAGGCGTGAGTCTACTTTCCCTCTCACAGTGGATCCCATCTGATTTTGACCGAGGCAGGCCCTGTGCAGGTTGCCATGGTCTCTGTGAATTTATATTGTGCCAGTACTGTTGTGTCTGGAAGGCTTTATTTCTTTGGCATTTTCAATCCCCACTATCTCTTACAATATTTCTGCTTCCTTTTCTGTATAGAACTCCCTGAGCTCTGGGGGAGAGATTTGACAGAGACATCCTATTTAGAACTGATTGTTGCAAGGTCTCTTACTCTCTGTACATTGTACAGCAATGGGTTTGCTTTTGTTCTCATCTGCTGCAGGAGTCAGCTTTTCTGAAGATCACTGAGCCAGGGCCTGAGCTTTGAATATAGCAGAATGTCCTTATGAGTCATATTATGGCTAAGATTCCTTTAGCAGAAGAGTAGTCTTTGATTTTCCCCCATATCTCTGGCCTGTCTAGTTTCAGGTTCCGGGCTATTCCAGCAGTGTCTGGTATGGATTCCGTTTCATGGAGTGGGAGACAGATTTTTCTTTGGGCTGCCAGCTCACAAAACAGGACATAGAAAGATATTAATTACGAAAGTTTGGTTTTAGCTTAGGTTTGTTTTAGCTAGCTCTTATAACTTAACCCATATTGTTAAATCTACATTCTTCTATGCTCTCTTTACTTCATTTCCATTTTGCCCATTCTGGTTGTTCCAGTCTGGCTGGTGACTTTGCCTTTCCTCTTCCCAGAGTTCTCTCTGTCCAGATGTCCCTGCCATACCCTGCTACTTAGCCTAGCTATTGGTCATTTAGCTTTTTATTAAGCTAATTACAGTGACATATTTTTACATAGTATAATCAAATATCTTGAAATAATGGAACAAGCCTTAAATCCAATCAGATATTGGTTGGTTTTTCCTACAAGCTATTGCCAGTATAGCACTGGCAATATCTTGCCAACAGGTCACCTTTGTGGATGGAATGGTTTGTAGATGTCTTGGTGTTTGTCTTTCTCTCTTTGATAGTGTGCAGAGTACCTTGAGTGGATAAAAATATATGTTATATTCAAATGGAATATTACTCACCTATTTAAAAAATTGAAATTTTCTGGGGAATGAATAAAGTTAGGAAAAATTATCCTAAGTCAGACTCAAAATTACAGATAAGGTATGTGTTCTTTTATTTGTGGATGTTAGCTTTTAAGTCTTCAATAAGCAGGTTCTACAAATCTTATAACCACAGATGCTACTTACATAAAGAGCAAGGGACTGAGGGAGGTGCAGATCTCCAAAATAGAATAGATAGTTATAAATGGATGGAGGGAAGGGCTGGAACAAGAGGATCACATAAGGAGGGGAAGAAAAAATGAAGGTAAAAGAAGGAATTTGAGAAAAGACATTTAAAACTAAAGTCCACTGAAGGGGTTATATGGAAACTCAGTACTGTAGATGCTTCTTATAATATACACATATGAAAAAAATCTAAATGGAATCACCAAATAATGGGGGGACAAAGCCCAAACAATACAGCTCTCATTACCAAACAAAAACTCCAATTCCAGGTATGGGTTACACACATTTAATGAAGTTGTTGGCCAAAGGAGCCCTGTGGACATCCCCGAACACCCCAGGTATTTCCAAGGCCATTGGTTGCTCTCCACAAACTGATGCTGAAGACAATCAATACTCATTGAACATTAAGAAGTCATGCTGGTGCCTACCTAGAACCTTCACCTCTACTGACTAGTGTTTATGCTATTAGAAGAAACTTTTAAAAGGATGTTAAAAGATAGATTTAAAAGTCTTGATAACTCAAGTGTGACTCAAGAAGAAACAAAGTTCTATGGAGAACTCAATCAATAAGAGTCCCAGGAGAGGGGCTGGAGAGATGGCTCAGTGGTTAAGAGCATTGCTTGCTCTTCCAAAGGTCCTGAGTTCAATTCCCGGCAACCACATGGTGGCTCACAACCATCTGTAATGAGGTCTGGTGCCCTCTTCTGGCCTGCAGACATACACACAGACAGAAAATTGTATACATAATAAATAAATAAATAAAAAAGAGTCCCAGGAGAGAAAGAAGTGTGTTGCTTAGGTTTAACTGTCAACTTTACACAACCTAGAATCACCTTGGAAGAGTCTTATTGGAGGAACCATCTAGATCTGAATAGTTTTTGAATATATTTATGGTGGATTGTCTTGTTATTGATGCAGAAAGACCCAGTTGAAGTCTGAGAATAAGAATATAAAAATGTAGATTCCAAAAATATGATTGTAGAAATAAAAAATACATAAAAGTTGTAAGCCTAGGAGAATGAGAACAGACTGTCAGCAGCTTTCTCAGTAGCTTGAGGATTGACTATTAACAGTGGGTTATTTCACTTTACAATCCATAGCTCTATTTACAAGGCCAGAGCTTCTCTCTGCAAACAGAGAGTAGTGTCTTGGTCATCCTTGATAAACAACAGGTATTTGCTGAATTAACCTTTAGGACACAGAGATGTGTGGCCTCTGGGTTAGACACTGTCTCTGCTATGGGAAACTTGTTGAAATATAAGTGGCAGGGCTGCGTCCCCAACACACCGGCCGCTTGGCTAGCTTATGCCCGAAATAATAACACACAAACTGTATTCATTTAAGAACTGCTTGGCCCATGAACTCTAGCCCTTACAGGCTAATTCTCGCACCTGGACTAGCCCATTTCTAATGATGTGTGTAAGCACCCCAAGGTGTGCTTACCGGGAAGAGTCTAGCCTCCGTCCATCCTGGTGTCTCTGCTCCAGAGAGCAGAGCTGTTGGGTCTCTCCGGGAGCAGAGCAGAGTCTGACCTCACTTCCTCTTCCACCCAGAATTCTATTCTGTTTACTCCTCCCACCAATGCTTTAACCTATGAGGCCAAGCAGTGTGTTTATTACTTAACCAATGAAATCAACAGATTGATATATGACACTCCCACATCACTTGGCACCATCAAAGGGGAGGCATGGGGCTCCAGTATACACTGCCTGGAGGTACCAGGAGAGACAGAGGATTGAGTACAAACACTGGTTTGACTAATGAACTCTGGTAACGGAGGTTGTAAAGTAAGGTAACCTGTACGTGAGTTTTATCTTGAGATAGTACCAAAAGCATTTTACTATCTTCTAAGTTCCCAACCTAGGAACCAATTATTCTGATTTATTAACATTCTGATATTACTAGCAGTCCCTTTTCTGACTAATTGCTAAAAACATGTTTTCTTGTAATTAGTGGCTTTTGCTGTAATCTCCTCTGGAACATATTTCATGATAACTGCCTAGTTACTTATTGACGGTAGAACACATCTCCTCCCCCAACTTAGGGTCTCTGTTGATTAATCCTTGGGTTCAGGCAAGATTGTAAAAATTCCTTTGTTCAGTCCTAATGCTTGGTGCCCATACTATGATTTCTAGATTCAGAAACCGGCCTTTTGCGACAGCGACAGCCTTAAAAAACACCATCTCTGGTTGTGGTCTCAGCTAGCTGATAAGCTTCTGTGCCCCATGGTGGTTTTTTTTTTTTTAATTTATTTTATTTTTAAGTTTGCTTCTGGTTTTCCTGGAATATGGTTTCTGAAATAAAGTTTGCTTTATTAGACTTTTGTGGTTTGTCTCCATCTTTGTGTGACCACCCCCCAACCAACACCAGTCTATTGTGGATGGTTCCGGTACCTAGGTCATGAGTAGGATAGGGGAGGGGAAAACTGGCTGAGAGCAATCAAGGAAGAGTGAATTTATTTTGTATTTCTTCCTAACTATGAATGTAAAACTCAAGCTGATTGTGTTCTTGCCTTGATTTCTCCAAAATGACGGACTACAACTTGGAAGTATAATGAATAAATCCGGCTGCTGCTTATATTGGTTTTTGTCAGGGTATTTAAACACAGGAAAACAAAAGCCTAGAACTGAAGAGTCCGAGAATAAGAAAATAAAAATATACATTCCAGAAATAAGAATGGAGAAATAAAGAAATATAAAGTTATAAGTCTAGAGGAATGAGAACAGACTGTCAGCAGATTTCTCAGTAGATCAAGGGTCAATCATTCACAGTGGGCTATTTTCTCAGACGCTTAAGAAGCCTCCATCAGCCTAGGTCATTTCATTTTACAACTGGCTGTTCTATTTCCAAGGCCGGAGCTTCTCTCTGCAAACTGAGAGTAGTGTCCTGGCCACCCTTGATGAACGACAGATGTGAACTGAGTTAACCTCAGGGAAACAGAGTTATGTGACCTCTGGGTTAGGCACTGTCTCTGTTATAGGAAACTGGCACCACCAAAGGGGTGGCATGGGGCTCCAGTATACACTGCCTGGAGGTACCAGGAAACACACTGGACAAGGTAGAAACACGGGTTTGACTAATGAGCTCTGATAATGGAGGTTGTAAAGTATTCCAGTCTGTATCTGAGTTTTACCTTGAGAAAATGTGAAATGCTTTCTGCTGTCTTCTAAGTTCCCAGCCTAAGAACCAATTATTCTGATTTATCAACCTTCTAGTATTACTAGCAGTCCCTTTTCTGACTAATTGCTTAAGACAACTGTTTTCTTCCAATTAGTGACTTTCGCTGTAATCTACTCTGAAACATATTTCATGATAGCTGCCTAGTTACTCATTGGCGTTAAAACTCACTCCCCTCCTTAGGGTCTATGTTAACTGGTCAGGGCAAGATCATAAAAATTCCTTTGTTCAGACCCAATGCTTGGTGCCCCTACTATAAAAAGTGGGTTTAAAAACCGGCCTTTTGCCACATCCTAACAAATACCATCTCTGGCTGTGGTCTCAGCTAGCTGATAAGCTTCTGTGCCCCGCGGTGGTTTTTTATTTTTTATTTTTAAGTTTGCTTCTGGTTTTCCTGGGATCTGGTTTCTGGAATAAAGTTTGCTAGAAAGAAGTGACCAGACATGAGGAACCCACGAGAGAAAATTTTGCCACAGCTGAATACGTGAGTATTGAGTGCTCAGAAATAGAAAATAAATTTTAAAGCAGTGTAGAGAAGCGGGACAAAATTTAAATTGGGAGTAAAGATTTGTAAATAAGTTATATATATATATGGGATAAGAAAAAAATATTCAGTTATATATGTTGGTAGCTTAAGTTAGAGTGGAGCAGGAACAAAGGCAGAGATATTTAGAATCTGTAAGTGTAATAGATGCACAAATGGAACTTTTATTGCTTGCTAAACGGATAGGCGCAGTAGCCACCTGAATGGAACCCACTTGCAGGTAAAAAGCAAACAAAAGACAGAGTAAGTTTAGACAACAAATTTAACCTCACACAGTCAGCCCAAAGTCAGCCAGTAGGACAAATGAGAGTATTCAGAAATTTTCTTAATTTTATAATTACAAATTAAATTTAAAAAGAGAGTTAAAAATCTGCCCTCCAGAGCCTGGGATAGCAGGCTGGCAGATGGAGAGAGCCTGTGTCCTACCCCCTGCCGTGTGGCACAGCTTCAACTGGAAGCTGAAAGGCAGATTTGAAATAAGGTAGCCTCTTAGAGCTGCAACTTCTGGACAATTAAAAATAAACAAGCAGGTTAAATATCCTTCTTTTTCTTTCACAATTCTGCTTCTTTGTCAAAAATCTGCTGTTTGTAGGCATGTGATTTGTATCCAAGTACTCTGATACTTAACCTGATTTAAGTACTCTGGCTCTGTAGTGAAGTTTAAAGTCAGAGATTGTGATGCATTCAGAAGTTCCTTGATTGTATAGGATCTTAAGATTGTTTAGGCTATCCTGAGTTTTTATTTTTTCTTATAAAGTTGAAGATTGTTCTTTCGAATTCTCTAAAGAATTTTGCTATGATTTTAATGGGCATTTGCATTGAATCTGTAGATTGCTTTCAGTGAGATTATCATTTTTGCTATTTTGGTTCTACTTTTCTAAGGGAATAAGAGATATTTCCATTTTCTGATGTCTTAAATTTCTTTCTTAAAAGTTTTAAGTTCTTATCATACAGGTTTTTTCATTTGCGTGGTTAAAGTTACTCCAAAATATTTTATAGTGCTTATGTGTATTGTATAAGATGATGTCTCTCATTTATCCTGTGTATAGAAGAGGTGTATTTAGAGTTGTTTTCAGATTCTGGCTATGATAAAGTAATTCTGCTGTGTACATAGTTGAGCACATGTCCTTATGGTATGGTTGAGCATTTTTTTTTGTATTTAGGCCCAAAAGGGGTATTGCTGAGTTTTGAGATAGTTTGTTGCCTAATTTTCTAAAGAATTTGTCATACTAGGATCCAAAGAGGCTGTGCCAGTTTGCACTTGTACCAGCAATGGAGTTTTTTTTTCTTTACCCCACATTCTCTTTAGTATAAGTTGTTAGCAATATTTTTTTATCTTGGTCATTCTTACAGGGATAAGATGGAATATCAGACTTGTTTGGATTTGCATTTTTCTAATGGGTAAATAATGTTATGTTTGAGCATTTTTAAGATAATAAGTTTTGGACAGTTGTATTTGCTCAATTTAAAGGCCAGAGTAATAATAATCTTTTCCCAGATGATCATTGCTACAATTCACACAACTATATTTTGCTAATGTTATAGCTAAATATCGCTTAAAAGATGTTATGCTAAATTTTCCAAATGGCTCTTCCAGTGGAAGAACTGCATACATGGTTAGTAATAAAAATGAATTGTGAAGCATACCACGGCTCCTTGAAAACAACTTAAGGGTTAAAAGCTGCAGACAGATCTGCTGCAGACAGATCTGACATAATGACACCAAGCTGACCTTTGCTAAGGCAAGTTAAAGAAGCCCTTGCAATGAATCATAAAAAGACCCGGCCTATGTGTGGGGTCGAAGATGTGTTTATGTTCTTTTTTCACAGAAAGAAAATAAAAGCTAAATGAGATGACTGCATGTACAGCAAAGGAGTGACAGACATGATGACATCATAGCTGCAAACACCCCATAGAGGAGTTCCAGTAACGAGTTGGAGAGGAATCCTTGATCCAGTCTTCCCTGCCCCAACGGAGAGGAGTGTCTAAATCACAAGACCTGCTACTAGATACTCTACACGGCAGGGTGCCATTCTGCCAGAGATTCCAGACAAACAGACCCTGCTGAGATAATTGCCAAGATGTGTTTCCTGCTTCTGGTAGCTGAATCCAGCTCACCTCACCCAGGAATGTCACCTGCCCCGAGGAACAGATGCTGAGCTGCTTCCAGACTTGGAACACAGACCCAGAGGCCCTGCTGAGATGACCTGACTGCAGTGACTACAATTTTCCACAGTTTACTTTGGAGCTGAAATTCAGACTGAACTAACCCCTCTTCACTTAAAAAGGGTGCAGACTTAGGTATTTAACTGCTGTTCAGAGACTAAAACTGGTATTTGATAACAGCAATGTCATTGTACTTTTACTGAAATTGACCTAATGATATTTGGAACTGCTTATAGATGTTGAAAAAAGTTTGACACACCCTGTAAATGTTTGGGTTTAACGTTAAGAATTTTAAATTTTGATCCTTTGGGGTGCCTTAAAAGAGGAATGTTGCTTCTATACTGATCACACTGAAATATATGACTAAGGTCAAGAAAGGATTAGAGCATAGAAGAAACCAGAAAGACCAAAAGGAGGGATGGTTTAAAAACTGTTTTTTCCACCTCCCGCTGGGTCACCACCCTCTTACCCTCCTTTTTGGGACCTCTTTTAGGATTTTTATTATTGATAGCTTTTGGAGCATGAGCCTTCAATAGGCTCACTAGGTTTATTCTCCAACAGGTGGACTCCTTGACCTCCAAGCCCATTCAAGTCCATTATCACTGGCTTGATGTGGCTGATCAAGGGCTAGAAGAGCCCCTTGAAAGCGAGTCTCCTATAGGAGCCACATAAAACCCAGAGATATGTGTGCCTGTCCACGATAGGCATGGGCACCAGCAAAAGGAGTTCGAGACAAAGCACTGCAGGGAGAGGATCATGCATTCTGTCTCTGAGTCTCCTCAGGAACATGCCTGATTGCATAGAGGTTGATGTCCAGAGGTACTGATATAAAAACCTAGCCCCTCTCCTCCCCAAAAAGACATCTGTAACTTTGAAGAAAAATTGGAAAGAAATTTCTCCCACCAAGTAAACATGGGAGGATTGGGCCTCTGCCCCCCTCCCACTGATTAATGCCTGCTTATCTACTAGATGACCTTTAACTCACCTCATACTAATACTTATAAAAAGGGAGGACCTGCTGAGAGCAAAGACCTGTATTTTGGTTATAGCCGTCACAAGTTAACTAAGCTATTCAGAAGCCTTCTTATCTCCCTGTGAGTTAGCAGTGCCTACAGGTCTGCAGACCAGTGGATCCCAGGCACCGGAAGTGATTAGCATTTCCCCCTATAAACATTTACAGACCCTCAGCATCTCCTTATCTCTTCCTGTCAGCTATGGGATGCCTCCAGACCTGACATTCCAGCATCCTACTCTACCTTCTGCCTGCTTGCTATATAATGCTCCTGAGAAAAAATAAAGTTGGTGACTTGATCAGAATACAGACTAGCTGTCTATTTCTTGTGTCTCTTGTCCCTTTCATTCTTCCCATCCAGACAGATTAGGATTTATTCATGTCCCGCTGGCAGGGACATTGGTGGTGTTCCCATCTTTGCATGAGACCTCTTGTCCCAACAGAACAAGGGGCTAGTCATGGAGGCTAATATGAAATAGATAGCAATTTACTGTCCCAAAAGGACATGGTAACCAGCAGTAAAAAAGAAAGACTGACCAATGCAGTATTAGATGTCTGCCATGACAAGAAAGAGGATAGAGGAACAAGAGCTATCTCCTTTATGTATTTATGGTCTTTTCCATTTAATTGATTGAGTGCTGCAGAATGCTCACTTAAGTGAGCTGCTGAGGGAAGGGAATGAGGAAGTGAAGACAAGTATGGACAGCACCACCGCAATCTGCCTGGAAGACACAGATGCAAGCTCACCTGGCTTCCTGATGACGAAACTCACCCAGGTGTGAAAGAGCTCAAGGCAATGGGGCAGACCTTCACCCTCAAGTGTTCTGACAAGCCTTTGGTTTTTTGGTTGATATCTAGAGTATTTCCTAAATGCTGACTTGGCATCATACTATTAATTTCATAAAGCAACAATACTGTCATTCTCACAGTTTTCTGATATTGAGAAAGTATCATAATCAGTTGTTGGAGAAGAGGCTTGGCAGCTGAGATAGGTTCAGATGCGACTGAAGAAGTATGGTACAGGCTTGTGATGAGACTCACACTTACCATAAGGAAAACAACTGCACATTGTATAGTTGGGGTCATTTCCAGAAAAAATTATTTTCTATTCCTAACTATATACCTTATTGTAAAAGAAGCCGAGTGATACCATCAAACTTCATCTGAAAGCTCGTGTCTGATGCACACATCCCAGAAATGGTTTCTTCTTGGCTTCTGCTTTAGGTCAGTGTATATACCATGCATGGAATGAATGTAACACCAAGTAGGACTATCTTGGAATAATAAATTGCTTTGCCATTTAGGTTTGGGACAGTTGTTTTTAAATGCAACACTGAAAGTAGACTTTAAGAACAAATGAGAATTTTTAATATCAAGAACAGGAAGAACATAGAAGGAGGAAGGAGAGAACATAAAAATTATTACTCATATATATGCCAACACAGAGAAAAGCACTTTAAAATCCATGATCTTTTCAGTTCACACAAAAGGTCTTTCAAAGCAGTTTTCTACATTTTCCAACATGGCAAAAGTAAGACTTAGACTAGTCAGTTCCCTAAAATAATATATGATGTGCAGACCAATGCATACATGGGCTAATCAAATTTTAACTATAACAATAAAGAATAATATAATGGCCAAAATAGCAAAATCTTGTCATTTGGCTATGACATGCTACTTTACTTCCTAGTGGGCTTTTTGTTTGTTTCTTTGTTTTGAGAAGAAAGCAATTTTGTGAAAATTTATATGACTTCTGCTAAACTGTGTGCACTGTCCTTTAGCTGTGACTGTTCATCACATGGGATTCCATGACACATATTGGAAGAAAGCGTTTACTCCTGATTCAGTCTGAAGCTCATTCAAATGTCAGGAACACAGGGACAGGAAGGAAATCTGCACTATGCAGGGAGCTACACGAGTAAGTGACTTTTGTTTACATAAAAATAATCTTAACAGATTTTTTCCTGATTGTGTACAGAGAAGACTGTCCATCTCAGTTCAGAACTCAGTTCTCATGAGGGCACCGTGTTTTCAGAGTCCATGGAAGGCCTGACATAGTTATAAAACGCTATCTGCTCATATGTGTAGGCACGCTTCATGGAACGGTAACAACCTAGGCCACCTTAATTCACAAAGAAGAATACAAAGAGTATTCTAAGGACTAGCTTCTCCTGTGTGCTACTGGCCTTTGTCTTATAGGCATTGCATGATGATTTATTCTCTCTCTACTAGACAATCCTCTAGTCTAGACAATCCTCTAGTCTACACAATCCTCTGGTCTCCAGCCCAGCACACACAGGAGGTCTTTTCTGCACGCTCACTTCTTCATGGAACATTCTTGGTCAACTTTTTACACATATTTTTCAGTACTAGTTTGACACTTTTATTTTTGTTCTGGTAGAACAAAGGAAAGCTATATAAATTATTTATTCAATATATCAGAATTTTTAAAAAGTTCAAAAGTGAAGGTTTCCTATACTGAGTTGGTACAAATCCAAATTTCTGTTGACTTTAAACAAAATGTATTTGTCAACTATCAAGACTCAATGTCATATGATCATGATATAGAAATAGTTTGCCCTCATTAGAAAAGAACCTATCTCATGGCTATGTAGTCCTTAACTGAGAAGCTGATAAGGCATAAGATGCAGGCAAGAGACACCTACCTTGCTTTACAAAACATAAAAATGTGTAGCAAAATACATTTAAAGGTGTCAGGGATATGAGTATATCTTGACAATTTTGTTGTTTCTTGCATGATACTTACACAAATATCCTGTTGAAAAATTTTGCCTGCGGCAAAAGACTTGAGTTTATACAATATAAATGCACAGAGCTCCACCATGTACATTTCCTTTTTACACTTAATATTGAATTTCTATTGACATGACTAAAATTGATCTTACATAACCCACAAAAACCTGTTCTCAAAATGTAACAGATCAGTTACTTAGGAGTTAGTAGGGAATATAGTTTATAACTTCGCTTTCATGTAAACAGCTTTTGTAAGAAAGGTTATTTTGGACAGTATTAGATGTTGACTTGCATTCTAAGAATAAAAAATAAAGTACTGGAGCTGGAATCCTCTCTGCTTGCTTCCCCAAGAGTTCCCTTATTTGGAAATCGTGTCAATTTGTTTAGATTTCCTTTGGAAGGTATGCTGGAAATCTGATCTGAGTGAATACTTATTCAGATGAGGTTTCGATTGGGAGGTCATGATACAGGCCTTCCTTGACCATCTCCAGAGGGTTGACCAAGCCCTTCACACCTCCAGTCTACCCTTCTGTGAGACAAAGCCTTATTAGTTCACTCAGGCTGTAGTTGGTTGCTACAGAAATCCTAGCCAACCAGTCGAGTCGGCCAAGCACTGCTGGGGAGTGGATTTAGGAACTGCCCTCTGCCCCGTGAATCCAAAAGATTGTAAGCTGGTATACTATAGAACAGAGCTGGACATTCTCATCTGTGTATGTTAAAATAAATTAGGTTTTGTAACAATTGAAATATTCCTACCTGTGGAAAAAGGCATGGGAACTCGGATGCCTTTCCAAAACAACAGCAATAAAAAGTGATTAAAACCAGAATGTACCATGACAGGGCAAGTGCTGTGAGGAGAGAGAGTGCAGGTCTAAGTTACACACTGCATGGAGATCCTATGGACCCAGTGCTGTGGAGAACCCTAGCAACCAATGATACTGTGTATACATGTGTATGTGTGTACATGCGTGTGTGTGTGTGTGTGTGTGTGTGTGTGCATGTGTGAGTGTGTGTTGAAAGAACTGACCTGCAGCATTTTCTAGCACATACAGTTCCAAGGACACACACAGCAATGATAGTACAGAAAGAGATAGGATGAGACTGTTTGTCAAGAGCCACCCTCTTGAGCTGAGTAAAGGATGTAGGTAAGACGGCCGTGTAGCTATCAGGTTCTGCTGGAAGCTACAAAATTGACAGAGACATCCATGGTCCTCAATCCTCTTCCCTGACTAGTAGCACAGGCAGTGGACCCAGAACCAGGAACCTGAATCAATCCATCACGTACAGATTACTTATACTGACTTTCTTGATTCCGTACTATGTTAGCAAGTAGTAACATCAAACTATGATCAAGGAATATTTTAAAAATAAATGTATGCACATCTCAGATCTGAAAATGTATTTGAAAAAAATCTTTCACAGACAAAACATCCTGAAATTCCATGAGGTAAAATGATAGCTTCAAAATTATAAACACTATTATAAATTTTTTCTGACTTGTCTGCACACTTGGATATAACAGTCTTACTAGGATACATTTTAAGTGCATTTTACATTTTAATATTTATGTAAATATTAAAAGATAAAGAAATGACTTAGCAGTTAAAAACTCTTGCAGAGTATCCAGGTTTGGTTCCCAGAACAGGTTACAAGCATTTAAAACTCCAGTTCCAGAAGATCAGTGCCCACATTTTCATGCATGTGATCCATATAAACTCATACAAGCACACACATGTACATAAAAATAAATATATATATATTAAATGTAAGATAATTACTGTAAAGGCAATAGCATTTTTAAAATAACACACACTGTAAACTTAAGGCTTTATTGACCATTTTGTGATTACTCAGCAAAATCACCTAAAAAGTAAGCAAATTAAAACAAATCTAAGTGAAAACAATTGAGAGTACCCCATAAACATGCTTCTTGGACCCTGGTGACTAACAGCTCTAACTCCATGCTGAAGAAGCTAGACACTTAGTCTTCACAACCTCCTGTCAGGGACTGACAGACAGTTAACGAATCATGTAACTGCTGGAGAGTGGACAGTTTCAGAGATGTCACTGTGGATTTTCCCTGAGCTATTCCCAAGAACATCAGGGGTTTCACAGGCTCACCACATGTCAAAGTTTATTGGAAGGTAAAATCAACCATGTATTTTCTTATTTGGTCATTCATTTTTAAAAGCTTAGGAAAAAAAAAACTACTTTTTTCTTCCAAGTTAATACATGCATTGAACATTTTCTTTGAACCAGGCATATTAAGAGTTTTACTCAGACTGTCCTTTACATCCTTAAAGCAACCCTTGTGAGTGTGCTTTTAATATATTCACATAGGTGATGGGAAATCTATTGCCCTAAGCAGTCTTTCCTAGTCACATAGGAAGTAATCACAGAGTGCAGGATCTCAGCATTGCAGACTGGCCAAATCGATCCCATACAAGCTGCTACTAGGCTGCACACAAGGCAACGAGACGGAAGCTCACGCAATCCTCACATACAGCTGTGACTGTAGCTGTAGCTTTGTTTAATTGGACAATAGATCTTATTTTGTGACTAGTGTATTTCT